TGTCAGAGAACAAATTGAGAAGCAAAGTATGGTAGTATAAGAACTAGGATATGAGATATATAAAATATCAAGCACCAAAACTATGTAAATTTCGAATCGCTCGCTTGCTTAAAATTCTTTTCATAGATTTTTAAAAAAAAAATATTTCAAAAATAATATCGCTCTAGTAAAAAATTATTTCGCCTGCCAAAAACCAAATTTAGAAAAAAAACAAATGAAAAAATTTCGTTCTCTCGCTACCCCTTTTCAAAGGAAAGGGTCCGAAGAACTAGAAATTAATTTGGTGTGTCCTTAATTCAATATAACATTCCACTGATTTAATTTTATTTCGTCTTAACTGGGTGCACAATTATCTTTTCAAACATGAATCTTCAACTTAACCCTAAGAAACTAGGCAAATGTGATGCCCCCGCTGCATCAAGTGCTTCAAAAATTTGATTAAGTAAATAGTGATGTTAAAGTACAATTAAAATTGATTGATTGATGGTTGCTTAACGTCCAGTGGCAAATATGTCATGCATGTTCAGGACGATACAATACAATTTGAAATAGTTGTGTTTAAAAAACACATTTGACGCACCCGTCAATAAAGGATTAAACATTCTGTTAGTTGAGAAAATTATAAAGAAAGATAAAATGCATATTCTAAATATAGTAAACTCTGTATGGTGTAAACGTGTGAGTTGTGTGCGTAGTTAATCGGACAAGCCTTTCAAACAGTATGCAAAATTTCACTCAAAAAGGCAAAGTTCCACATTCTGTCATTCGTGGAAAATTATACAAAAAAAAAGCTTGAGAATATAAGTTATCTACGTTCATATCCGTAGATATGAGTATTTTAACACCATGAAGTATCCAAGTCCACCCTGAGACTTTGTGTGCCTTTATAATTCATCAAAATACCTAATTCAGCAACCTGTCATTTTCTTTTAAAAACAAACTAATATCCTGACAATATGCGCACCTTAAGTATATGTACTAAAACCAGGTAGAAGCTTAATAACTGTAGTCCTAAGAAATTAGCCGTATAAACCCTATATACCAAGTGCGGCACATACGCTCCAAGCATTTTCTCGAGGGAGAAAAAATAGGTATTAGCGTATATGATGATGTTCTATTTTATAAAGTATTTGGTGACAAAATATCTTTTTCAATAAGCAGTTCATAGTGCAATGTAACCAAGCTAACATCTATATTATTTGGTATTTGATGGAAAGTTGTCTCATTGGTAATCATACCACATCTCCTTATTTCATAAAATTTTGAGTTTTCTCCTGAAATACAAGAAGTTTAAAGACTTTAACAAATATGTACTAGGTGACTGAAATATGTTACTGTTATAATCAACATCTTACTATTGTTGTGAACATTATAATTTGAAAGATTTGATACTTGCCATGCTGAATATACTTATTAACTTTCCAATTCAAGGGACTTTAGAATCTTTTCTAAAACTACAAATAAGCAGTAAAAAAAATACTCGTCAATCTGGCATTAGTTACGGGTTATCTAGATGTCTTTGGTTTTGTGTGTCGTTAATTGGCCAGTTGCTGTCTTATAAAATATATCCCACGTCTCCATTTATAAACACAAAGAAATACCAACACTTTTTTTACATACATACTTGTATACTTGTTAAAAAAACTCCTTGTAAGACTGCAAATACCCTCGGCCGTTTGAATAACAAAGGTTGATGAAAATATGTATAATATGTTTGCGTTTGAAGCACTTTTCTTGATTTACCTTCATCAAAGCACCGATCATTCATTTATAGTGAGGCCACGGTTTTTTTAATGAATCGTTTGATTGTAAATTTCGAGGAAATAATTTATTTCAGAATGGAATTGACAAAAAAATATGTAACGGGATCTGAATGATTTTATTTCGTCTTAACCGAGTACACATTTAGTGTTGACATCTCATCTGCTTGTATGGATTTTTTCTCTAAATTCTATCCGTATTCTTTTCCATATAAATTTCCTTTTGCTATTTTGCTAACGGCGTTTTACGGCGACCATTTTTAAACGAATGGGTTTCTTAACGGAATTGCATTTATAGAGGTACAGTTTCACGTATTTTCACACATTATCCTGCGTTTCTATAATTTGGATTTCTACTTTCAAAACAAAATTTCACGGGGAAACGGCATGCATCTTAGATAAGAATTTATTGCAAAAAAAAACCCCAAAAAAAAAAAAAAAAAAAATTAAACAGAATAAAAAAACTCAATCTGTTTTGCATAAGAACATATACAGATAAGTCGTACAAATGATTACTTATCATTAGAAACAGAACATTTAAAAAGATACTTTTAAATGTAAAGAATGAGAGGAAGAACGAGAGGAGGCGACGAAGCAAGAAATGTCAAATAACGTATTGCATCTAATCTCTCGGAACTCTGCATCTATGCAAAGTTACAATTAAAAATGTTCATCAAAAATAAGTTATTTTATTATTTTATTATTTTATCATTTCGCGATAAAAGTACAGCGTAGGGCCTACATTTGCAGTTTTATTTCCAAAGTCTGATATGGTTATAAACGATATAAATGTCCGTATTTAGGATATTATGAATCGTGAAAGTTTTAAAATATTGCGAACATTTTACACGATCATGTTGTACAAAGATTATTTATAAGTATTTGTTTTTTATTTAAATTTCACTCGAACTTGAGATAAAGGATACCATAGATACATTAAGATATCCTTCATATCTTAACCTACATATAGAAATTGAAAATAAGGGGTCAGTTGAGAACAAACCTTTATGACAAAATAGATGATTTCAGCTTTCCAATTATAAACCTGCTTTTTTTATGTAGCGAATTTGCATATTGATTATATATATCTCCAATTGGATACGATATTCCAATGCTTGCGTTTCTGATCATGATTTCCGTGATATAGGGTTGATGTTAACAAGGAAGGGATTGGTTATCCGTTAAGGATTATCTGTTTCATCGATGACGCCGGATTTGTTCAAACTGTCTTTACCAAAAATACGCCCTCTAATGTGACATCACAGAATGAGAATTATCACCGAATATGTACTTACACGACAAGAGTAATACGACGGTGACAAATGTGTGGCAGTATCTACTTGCTCTTCTGAAGAACGTTCACCGAATATGTACTAACATGACAAGAGTAATACGACGGTGACAAATATGTGGCAGTATCCACTTGTTCTTCTGAAGAACTATCACCAAATATGTACTGACATGACAAGAGAAATACGACGGTGACAAATGTGTGGCAGTATCTACTTGTTCTTCTGAAGAACTATCACCGAATATGTAATTACACGACAAGAGTAATACGACGGTGACAAATGTGTGGCAGTATCTACTTGTACTTACATGACAAGAGTAGTACGACGGTGACAAATGTGTGGCAGTATCTACTTGTTCTTTTGAAGAACTATCACCGAATATGTACTTACATGACAAGAGTAATACGACGGTGACAAATGTGTGGCAGTATCTACTTCTACTTACACGACAAGAGTAATACGACGGTGACAAATGTGTGGCAGTATCTGCTTGTTCTTTTGAAGAACTATCACCGAATATGTACTTACATGACAAGAGTAATACGACGGTGACAAATGTGTGGCTGTATCTACTTGTACTTACACGACAAGAGCAATACGACGGTGACAAATGTGTGGCAGTATCTGCTTGTTCTTTTGAAGAACTATCACCGAATATGTACTTACACGACAAGAGTAATACGACGGTGACAAATGTGTGGCAGTATCTGCTTGTTCTTCTGAAGAACTATCACCGAATATGTACTTACATGACAAGAGTAATACGACGGTGACAAATGTGTGGCAGTATCTACTTGTTCTTCTGAAGAACTATCACCGAATATGTACTTACATGACAAGAGTAATACGACGGTGACAAATGTGTGGCAGTATCTACTTGTACTTACATGACAAGAATAATACGACGGTGACAAATGTGTGGCAGTATCTACTTGTACTTACACGACAAGAATAATACGATGGTGACAAATGTGTGGCAGTATCTGCTTGTTCTTCTGAAGAACTATCACCGATTATGTACTTAAACGACAAGAGTAATACGACGGTGACAAATGTATGGCAGTATCAAATTGCACTTACATGACAAGAGTAATACGACGGTGACAAATGTGTGGCAGTATCTACTTGTTCTTCTGAAGAACTATCACCGAATATGTACTTACATGACAAGAGTAATACGACGGTGACAAATGTGTGGCAGTATCTACTTGTACTTACATGACAAGAATAATACGACGGTGACAAATGTGTGGCAGTATCTACTTGTACTTACACGACAAGAATAATACGATGGTGACAAATGTGTGGCAGTATCTGCTTGTTCTTCTGAAGAACTATCACCGAATATGTACTTAAACGACAAGAGTAATACGACGGTGACAAATGTATGGCAGTATCAACTTGTACTTACATGACAAGAGTAATACGATGGTGACAAATGTGTGGCAGTATCTGCTTGTTCTTCTGAAGAACTATCACCGAATATGTACTTACATGACAAGAGTAGTACGACGGTGACAAATGTGTGGCAGTATCTACTTGTTCTTCTGAAGAACTATCACCGAATATGTACTTACATGATAGGGTTATACGACGGATACAAATGTGTGGCAGTATCTGCTTGTTCTTCTGAAGCACCTGTGGTCACCCCCCCCCCCCCCCCTTTTTTATGTGGTTCCTTTTGCTCAGTTTTTAGTTTTCTATGTTGTGTTTTGTAGAGTGTTGTTTGTCTTTTTGTCATTTTCATTTGTTGCCATGGCGTTGTCAGTTTGTCTTCGACTTATGAGTTTTGAATATCGCATTTGGTATCTTCCTGTTGATTCCTTTGTTTGTGTAATTTCATTAGTGTAGTTCTTGGACGGTAAATAATAATAATCTCTGTGTTTACTAAAATATGTACTGTTAATATCATTAAAATACGTTTTTATTGTATTCCATTCTATTTCAGACATTTAGATTTCATCAATCTCATGTCATACGATTTATTCAGTGATTATAACAGCGTTACACAACATAACAGTCCTTTATATGAATCTTTGGCTCCAAACGAGGCCTTTAATGTAGTAAGTATATAGGTCCGTTTTACATTTGTTTGGCTCCAAACGAGGCCATTAATGTAGTGAGTATATAGGTTCATTGTCACAATGAACAATAATGATTGTATTGCATATCAGAAAACACAAAAACGAATACGAAATAATACACCTCAAAAAAGACAAATCAATATATAAGATTTCCGCCCTTACAAGTACAGATCAGATGTAAAATTATTGGAATTTAATTTTCTCTTAACTTAACTGTGAACATAAAAGACAGAAGATGTCAAGGTGACATTCACAATTTATAAGTCGAAGAAAACCTGACAACGCCATGGCAAGAGAAAACCAAAACCGACGAAAAGACAAACGAGTCTACAAAATACTCCATAAACTCATGTGAGTTTCAAGTGAATCTCATGTAAAACTCACGTGAATTTCACGTGACTACAACATGAGCTTTCAAAATAATGTTTTTCAAATAACATCTAAATTTTCAAAGTTAATTATAATCATGAAAAATACCTGGCTTTTTTTGGTAAGTTCACGTGACACATTTCACATGAGATTCATATGAAAATCAATTCATGTAAAATTCACGTGAAAATATTCACGTTAGTTTCACATGTAAGCTCGTTAGAGGTGAATTTCACGTTAGCAAAATTTGCCTGTGTAGAAATCAAAAGACTGAGCTACACAAGAACAAAGCAAGATGAGTGGTCAGGAAGTACTACTAATGATACCAGGTTCCTCTATAAACATATCCGTAATTTTCTTCACATCTGACACATCTAGGTGAAGTCAAACCTGAAAATGAATAAGAATTAGTAAATGAAAAGGGTAGACTAAGTGTTTGGTTCCCTTTTTTATCTGCACTCGCGCCTATCACTGATCGAAATATTTGACTAAATTCTGTGCTGATAACATGATAAACTTTACCCTGACAAGAAAGAGGTCAAGGTAATATTGCTTCTCAGAATATGAAAATCATTTTTTTATATATTTACATTTAAAAGGCAGCATACAAACAGTACAACATATTAATGTCAGAGGTGTTTAGTCAATAAATGTTTCTGTTTGAAGGATTTTGCTGTTAAGATGTGGTTGAATGGAGGAACACCGAAACATAAACTGATTGTGGGAATGGCAACCTATGGAAGATCTTTTACATTAAGAAACATAGCTGAGACAGGATTTGGTGCTCCTACCACTGGTCCAGGTACAGCTGGAACATATACCCGAGAAAAAGGATTCCAATCGTACTATGAGGTATGGTATCAAACAATGCCTTAATATAAAGTTGATACGTTACGTTATATCTAAAAGGACATATCAAATTTTAATAACAAAATACAACTATTAGCAATGTAAATATTACATGCATGTCCAGGACGATTGTCTCTTTTATGGATAGTTGTCTCATTGGCAATCATATCACATTTTTGGATTCCTATATAAAGAACAATCCTTGTTTGAAGAGGTTGTAACTTCATACCTATCTCGCAACTCAATCTTTTTTTCCACAGATCTGTACCAATATCAACAGTCATGGATGGACGGAAGGTTGGTTAGGAGATCAACAAGTACCATATGCCTATAAAGGCGATCAATGGGTTGGTTTTGATAATCCTAAAAGCATTGAAATAAAGGTAAAATTTAAAAATCAAACGTGCATTTAAAAACGAAATGTATTTTTGAGAAAATTGTAAAATCATGGAAGTGCAGGGTGGATGCACACAAATTCACGGGAAATTTAAGAAGTAACTAGTTAAATAAAAAAAAACAGCACTTGTTTTCAATCATAAAAGGCGTTGAAAGGTTTTCATGGCTATACTGAAGAGTTTAAAACAAACATCAATGTTTTAGCTTGACACTATCATTTACGTATCTGACATTATATACCGTAAGGTACAAGTCTTCTTTTAATATAAATAAATGTGGTATGAGTGTGGTATTTAAGTTGATCATCATAACCAGTATACTTCAGGAGAAAAAATCAACAAAATAGGGCCAATGTCAGTATTTTTGTGGAAAACTTCACGAAGAAAATCATAGCTGAAATCAGCCGTAAGAAATCATAAACTGATTTTTAGCTAAGCATGTTAAATGTACTATATATATGTATAGCTACTACTGTGATTTTAGTTTTTATGCTATTGTGCTTTTAATGAAATATAATGAAGTAGTTTACTAACTGTGACGATATGATTAAAGCTGTATATGTTCTCCTGGATAACATCTACGCACGTTTCGGCATAATTATCGACAGGTTGTAGGTATTCCTATTGGCACCATTGCGTCCTTTATAATTATCGACAGGTTGTAGGTATTCCTATTGGCACCATTGCGTCCTTTATAATTATCGACAGGTTGTAGGTATTCCTATTGGCACCATTGCGTCCTTTATAATTATCGACAGGTTGTAGGTATTCCTATTGGCACCATTGCGTCCTTTATAATTATCGACAGGTAGTAGGTATTCCTATTGGCACCATTGCGTCCTTTATAATTATCGACAGGTTGTAGGTATTCCTATTGGCACCATTGCGTCCTTTATAATTATCGTTAGGTTGTAGGTATTCCTATTGGCACCATTGCGTCCTTTATAATTATCGACAGGTAGTAGGTATTCCTATTGGCACCATTGCGTCCTTTATAATTATCGAGAGGTAGTAGGTATTCCTATTGGCACCATTGCGTCCTTTATAATTATCGACAGGTAGTAGGTATTCCTATTGGCACCATTACGTCCTTTATAATTATCGAGAGGTAGTAGGTATTCCTATTGGCACCATTACGTCCTTTATAATTATCGAGAGGTTGTAGGTATTCCTATCGGCACCATTGCGTCCTTTTATTGAAGACTTAATCCTGTATTTTTATGAATCACATGTTTGACTGAGGTATGATCCGTATTATTTCCATTTATAAGAACAGCTAATTATATCATTACTGCTGTAAATAACTAAGATTTCTTTTATTACACTGCAGCAATGTACAATGGGTCCTTAAGATAAATATAACTAGAACTCACCCGCGACATCACGGGTCCGTGACTGATTGTAAGTTCCTACCTTATTTTCAGCCTGGATTTTTAGTATTCGTATTGTCATTTTCTCTGCTTTCTGTTTTGATCCGTTCTGGTTTTCTTACTACAACCTGAAACTACTTGTAGATATATTTTTTTTTTTTGGTCAATGATAGAATTTAGAAGTGTCAATCCCTGTATAATGACGAAGTTCAGGTGTGATTATGACCCGTGCATACAGCAAATTCAAAATACACCGTAGAGTATTGTCGGGGAAACTTAAAAACAAATTTCCCATATCTTCATATATTTGGATTAGAAGATCGACTGAAGCTGTTTCTTATTATAAACGGAATATCACATTCTTTATTTTTACCGGTAAATAAAGATATCATCCATCTGAACTTGTACTTTTAAAGGGGCACTAGCTGTAAAATTCATGTGTACTGATTTGACTCAAATTCTCATATTTGATTTATAACAATGTAAAACATTTATCCAAATTATTAAAAGTCTAGAATAAACAATTTACAGAGCATCGGTTCGATAATATGTAGCTTCGTTTCGTGTGTATTTTAGTCTAGACGCCATCTAATTAACTATCGAGTTGACCTCCGAAAACCTCCGATGGCCATATAAGGTATATAAACATAAATATAGATATAAATAGATTAAGCGAACTCGTGCAATTGGATTTTTCTACGTCTATTTTATTTCATATGATAAATTAAAAATATATATTAATCATCGTTTTTACCTGTATAAGAATGAATTTTTGTTAATCGAATCAGTCAATCAAATGATTTACCTTTGTTTCACTTTCAATGTTGACATTCTTTTCCTTTAAATGACTAATCACGCACGATTCGTGCGTTATCCATCTCTAGCTAAGGGGTTGAATTGAAGTTCACATGAATAAGGATTCAATGAGGTCGAATTATTCACTTGCAAGAGAATAATTAATCTTCAATATTTCTTAGCTTATTTTGTCAAAATTGAACCATACTTGCTGCTAAAAGCGAATTATTATATTTCACTATTTCACTTTCATTAATGATTGAACAAAAAAAATCCTATTTAAGATTTTTTATATTTTTGTAGCTAGTGCCCCTTTAATAAAAATCACTTTAACATTGCAGTAGAAACTTTTAATAATGTCTTTAGTGGTATCACCTGTAACACTGATTTTTTTTTTAAATGAGGCGGAAGATGCCAAAAGGGACATTCAAATATCATAAGTCAAAAAGAAACTCACAATTCAAAGGCAGTAAACGAAAAACGACAAAAAGAGAAACAACAGTTTAATATATTTCTTTTCGTGTTTTAGTGATTTCCCCTGTGTTTAATATAGCTATATTATTTATATGTTCAAAATTGAATAGAGAAGTCGTAAACGGGTTCTTGTTATTTTGGAATTAGGTATATGGGTAATAAATTTATGCGAAATACTTTGACGGTTCAATGGGTGGGGGTTTCATTATACTGTTTAAAGAATGTGTTGATGTGTCAGTTCATCGAATGTGCTCACATTAACTACAACGTACAATAAGTCGTTTATTTTCATATTTATTAATGTGGATTATATAGAGTTTATATTTATTTACATTTAATATAATGATGTGTTGGACAAATTGTTATTGAATTATATTTGATTATAACGTTATCAAACATTGTTTGCAAGAGAAAAGAACAAGTAACTGCGAGCAACCAAATCCATGTTACGGCTTTGTCTTATTTATACTAAGGAATTTAGTAAAAAATTCTTTAAATTCGGACGAGCATGGCGAGGGAGAATTTAAATACATTTCTAAACATGTATTATAATCCAAATGTTAACACTATGTCTCATGTTCATTAGGCGTGTCGATACTTTAATTTTGGCACTGAACAATGTCATGATTTTCTCAGACTGTTTATGACGTTTGTTATATATCATATATCTTCAGAAGTGTACTGATTGATAAATAATTTGACAACTGTTTTTTAGGTTTCAATAACTGTTATTCCTCTCAGATCGGTACTTTGCGTCTTTCGTAATATGAATAAAAAGAGATGTTGGTTTTATGTCATTGTGACAGCAACCAAACGACAAAAATAATCAAAACGACATCTAGAGGCCAACATACACAGATCCAGGACCCTCGGTAATAAAACTTTGTACCCGGAGTACAAAACTTGTGCTCGAACCACCAAATCCAGTATTTTGATTGGTTGAGATCTGAGTCTTTTATGACCGCAAGGCCAGATTAGGGATGGGCTAAGCACTCGCAAACTTGTTCAAACCCACTTCATTCTTTTATATCTGTCACAAACGTCAGTCTGTAACCGAGTTGTCATCATTGGTTGATATCGGCGATAAGAGTCTTTCGTTGATTCTCTACATATAAATCAGATCGTTGATTTTCCCTTTTGAATTGTTTCAATTTTATTATGCCATGACATAGTTAAGTATTCGGTGTGAGTTTTTCTCATTGTTGATGAATGGTAATACTGTGGTCTGTAGTTTTCAAATGCTTTGCCTTTGGTCTTTTGAGGATATTTATTCTATTGGAAATCATACAGTTCGCTACACATCTTTTAGACTTTTTATTTACTTTTGAGATACTGGAATTTGTGGAAAATTAATATAATACATATGTCAAATAAAATGCAAACATTCATATTTTTTTTTTACATAATTCAACGACAAAAAATATGTAGGGTCTTCAGCGATGGAAAATTCCTATGCAGTATGTCTAACTCGCCTTCGAGAGTCTGGATTATTTGTGAATAAATGTAGCAGTTAATATAAAAGATCAGTATCAATTTTTTTTTTTTATTACAGACAAAGTATATCATAGACAATGGTTTAGGTGGAGGTATGATATGGGCAATAGACATCGATGATTTCCATGGCATATGTGGGCATGGAAAATACCCGATAATGCAAACAATGAGGAAGGTTTTCAATGGAACTGCGGGTCCTCCTGTCTTTGAACCGACATCAATGACCGATTCGACGACAAAGACATCGATTACTGATTCATCAACAAAGGCATCGATAACTGACTCAACTAAATCATCGATGTCATCAGGTATCACAATATTTTCAGGAAATACTAGTTTAACAGTTATTAGACATTACATTACAAATTGAATTTCCACGATCGAGGACAAATAGTCTTCGTCCTTTTGTCGGTAAACGCTATTACTTTCATACTTTTTACTTGAAAATAAAACTTTTTCAATTTGGTGAGTCCGAAGCGGTGTTCTCTATTTACTTTCATCGGCAACGCTCAAACCCAAAACCTGTTAAACCAAGGATACATATACGTGAATAAGTAAGGAGCTAAATAACAAAAAATTACCGAAAAAAAAAACAATTTAACCTATTAAGGGATTGTCATTATGTAATTTGACAAATATTGCGAGTTATATAATTTGACTATCTTGGCCTAATGCGAAATAATGAAATCTTGTGCGCGTAAGAAATATTTTTGTTTTCGTTTGTTACCGTAACAATTTATCACAAGAGTACAGCTATTATATTAGTACTATACTATATGTTGTGTTTAAAATATTTACTAACATTTACACATTAATTCATGCATTCATTCATGCTTTGCTGCCGCAACTTTATGAAACAGCCTTCCAAACCATTTCAGGACTGAAAATAGTTTTTCACATTTTAAAAGTCTTGTTCAGTCCTGGAACGGTTTGGAATGTCGCTGTTCTGCTTGCAGATAACTCTTGAGCTGTTTATTATTTATGTTGCTTTTTTGTTGCTTTGAACTAGTATTGATGTATTTCTTCACGAATTTTTATATATTTAAATTTTAATTTCTGACACATATTCCCAGAAGTTGGATAATAAATTCATGTTGAAAATATTCTGTTCTTTAAAATTTCTAGATCTCAAAGCATGTACTATAGTTCTAAACTTTTTATTTGATTTTTAAAAGTAATCTGTTTATTTAAATAGTTACCATATTTTTAACCTAAATTTTAAATTTTAATGTAGGTAAAGAATGTTTTACTTCATTCTAAATTTGTTGCTAAATTTTTATTGCATGCTATATATGTAAGATTCAACTTTGTATTACAGGTTGTTTATATCTTCGATTGTTTTTATGTTTTGTATATGTTTTTAAATTCGGTCAAAAGCTCCTACGCAGTTCAAAAGCGAAGGAAATTTCAAGTTAACATATGAAATAAATGTTTCTTACAATTATGTATTTTCAGTGTGAATAAAAGTTTGTTTGCAAAATCTTCATCACAATATCACAATATCTTCCCCTTATTTAGTACAACCCAAGTGGTCATTTACCGTGACATAGAATTCAATGCTCTGTTGCATTTATATATGTCATATCCTTTCCTTTGTGACATTGTTATCAAATAAGGGTAACGATGTATTGTTTCTAGTCAGTGAGGCAAAATGAAAATTACGCGTGTTTATTATCTCGGTTTTAGTTATATGTGAGGGTCTGTTTAAAATCTTTTCAAAATATTTTTTTGAAAGGGGGTTCCGTGTGCGCTCATTCTTCATTTCAAAAATTCATGATATTAAAACTACAATGTATATAAAAAAATATCATCTATATATAATGTCCCGAAATATTTTTCTCATGAATTTAGGAATCCGTTAATAAAAATGGAACATGCAAAATGTATGAATATTAAACTATCTAGCTATAACTTTTTCCGAACATTTTTAGTTTTATTTGGAAACAATCAGTATTAAAGCCATCTTAATGAAATATAAGCATATGCCACATCTTTTTTTTTTCTTTTCGTCTTTTTTTTCTAGGCTTACAAGAAGGTTGTAAAAGCAACAACGGATCAGTTGATATTGTTCTTGGAATTTTACTGGCTGTATCGCTGGCAACAATTATTATGTTAATCCTTTACATCTTCAAACTAAAGGGTTACGAGGTCATGCTGTGGCATATTACTATAAAGAAGAATAAAGCAAAACAGTATAACAACTTACAAGACTCAAGTAATGTATTGCCGAATGTAGGTTATGTTTCTTAAAAGCTGAACCATCAGAGTGAAATTGATCAATCTGTTTCTACGGAACCAAGGTTTTAACCGTCGGACATAAACCATGAATCTAGCGAATATATATTTTTTTTTCTTTTGTGCCTCGCCTGGATCTATGTGCATTTTCAACAATGGCCACTCTCCAACACTAACAGAATAAAATATAATTCATGACTAATATCTGGGGGATTTTTTGTTGACATTGCATTGCGAATCATTTTTTAAAGTTTTCAGTTTTTCTAACTTTTTCTAGTTTTTGCATAATATGCAAAAACAGGGTAAATATTTATAGAATAACTAATCGAGAAAAATATTCAACGAGTGACCGAACAACACATTAATTCACGAATGCGCGTAGCGCATGAGTTAATTATCAGTGTTGTTCGGTCACGAGTTGAATATTTTTCGATATTTGAATTCTTTGATTAGTTATTCTTTTTATTACATTGGCAAATGGCTTTTTTCATAAAATTGAAGTAGAAAATGTAAGGAACTATATCTTTTTCTACGCATTCACAATTTGTTTTGATCCGACGTTATCAACGTCTTGACAACGCCTATTGTTGTATGACGTCAGAAGAGTGAAATAACCACGTTTATTTCACATGTGAAATTATCGGTTTTTATTTCACTGGGAAATCAATGTAATTCATTGCAACCAATGTAATAATATCTTTTAAAGAATGAAAACAACATGTTATAAATGTAATGCGTCCAAAGCGCTTTTCTGGATTTACCTTCATCAGGAACGCTCAAAGCCGAATATTTGAAAGCCAAGGATGTATAAAACCGAAACAGTTGAAATTCTTTATAATTTAAAGGACCATAACTCCTACAAGGTAATGATACATTAAAGATCTTATTTGCTGGTAAATTTTGCTGTTACAATTTTTTTTATTTACTATAGTTTTGAACAAATATGCATACTATGAGTAAAAATCATCATTGAAGGGCAATAACTCCTTTCAGGAATCGACCAAGTACCACTTGACAAATCTGTTCTGCTGATCATTTTTACAATTTAAAGTTTCTCTTTATCTAGTTTTCATAATAAAAAGCCTAAAGGCAAACAATAGATAAGTATCATCATTTGGTGGCTATAACTCCTATAAGAAATCGACTCACAATTTCGATCACGTTAACTCTATCTATTAAAGTTATCACATAATAGGCAAAAAATAAAGAAATTGGTAAAAATCGTCATTTAAGGGCAATAACTCTATAAGGAGTCGCTTGACAGTTTTGGTGTAGATGGCACTCAACATTCTGCCCATGTAAGATTTTAGCGGTTTTGAAGATAAGGTTTTTGGCCATGTCGGTCATGTTGGTTGGGAGGCGGGTTCATCGGACATATTTTTCAAACTATTTTGAAAAACCACTAGGATGATTGTGGCCAAGATTGACGAAGTAGTTTCAAAGAAGAAGATTTTTTTGTAAAAGTTAACGGACGACAACAGACGACAAGGACAACGAACGCTAAGTGATGAGAATAGCTCAGTTGACCCTTTTTGTCAGGTGGACTAAAATGTGTTGTGAGCTTTAAGTTTAATTACTATATCGCCTGGTTGGTATAGGTCATTTCCCGCGATAATTTTCAGCCTAGCAGCACTGGCATAATTTGAGTTGTATAAAAATGAGTATGTTTGATAATGACCCCTATTTCTAGCTGAATTTTCAAATAAGGATTTAGAGGTCATAATTACAATGTATCATAGTTTCAACAATTACTAGATAGAAAAAAGTTAAATTTACGTATTAGCGTTATTTCTATGACGTCACAATTAGCACACATCTTAATTTTTCGCCAAATTCAATAAAAACCTGCAAATTTCAAATGTTTTTTTTACGGAAACATAGAGCGCATGCGTCAACAAAAAAGACTCGTTCTTTTTATTTTTGTTATTACAAATGAATTATCAGACTTTAATATATAGTTGGTGAAACCTTGCGCTCTAAGGCCTAATTTTAGTTAAAATCCAGAAGATTTGTGAACTTTTACAAAGATCTTTATTTTCGATCTAATTTAACTGGCAAAGTTTTGTAAAAACGACAAAAATCGTCCCGTTTAACTTTCTTACACATCAGCTGGAACACTCTTCATCTTGAAATAATGGAATCAATGTTTGGCACCAAAAAAGACCCCCAACAAACCTACTCCTTAAATTCCGTGTACGTAAACAAGGTTAAACTGCTTCTTTTAAAAATTACCCAAGACATTTCAAGCTGTTCCGTTTAAGATTTCCTTTATTTTCATTGAAGATGAAAGCTGTGGTACAATTTTCAATCAGATAAATCTAAGACGAGGACCAAAGGATATATAAATATCTACATCGGTCAGATCAAAGTAATGAGTTTGACAGCAGTGTATGAATGGCCTTTCATTCTGAGTAGTATAATGTATAATAGCAATTCAATACAATGTTTTATTCAAGTCTCATCTCTCAACAAGTACAATCGATATTTATAAATTTTAACACAATACTACATAAAATGAGAGCCATTCTATACAGACTTGTGAGAGAATATTAAAATTCATAGATTTACTACATTGAACAATATGAAATAAAGAACTATTTACAATAAATAAAATTTCTACGTCTTCTTAAAATTAAATAACAGGTTTTGGCACACACACGTATCATATCTTCATCTGAGAATATAAACACTAATTTTTGTTTGTCATCTAAAGTATTATAATTTTCATTAAAAGTTTCAGCAACATAATATAAACGGTTTCTAAAATCGTCATAAAGAGGACATTATTTGGTGTATATTTTCCTACTCCAAGAAAAAATCTACGGGCCCTATTATGTATGGAGTTTATACAAAAATATGTTTTTACATTAAATATAGCATCTATTAACTATTTAGTTAAATACGCATGTAATTTAGGTAATCTAACGTCATGTGATGATTCTGGAATAAAGAATTAATGTTTATAATGAAAGTCATGTAATTTAAATTAAAAAACATCTTCTATCATTGCAGTTATCATGATAAAATTATCCCAGGAATTTGTCCCTGAAATGTATTAGTTTCTTCCGTTCCAGGTTCATCTGTGAACTGTATTTCTGAGTTATTAAAATACACACTTCGAATTCCATTTTTGCCATTCCACATCCAGTTTGCTTCATCTAGTTCCAATGATATGACAAATTTTATGTCTGGTTGAATTTCTACAGCTTTCTGAAATATTACATCATACTCTTTTTCCATTGGTTTAGATTTTACCCAGAATTCATCATTCATGATCTCTTTCCCATTTCCATCCGTTAGTTTAACGTAAATTTTAAACTTCTGTTTTTCGTGGCTTAATCCATATGTGACGATACCATGTAGAAGAACTTTCTCCGACGACGTGAAAGCTATTGAATGATTGGCATTGTCTAGAATTAAGTTTTCTTCATAGTCCGTCATTCTCATCAAACGCTCACTGACATTTCTAGGTTTGGACTTGAAGATTCCTCTATACGTGCATCTATTCTCATTTCTATACATGTTTGTAAGGTCTTTCTTTTCTCTTTCTGTTAATATGTTTCTTCTCTCTATTGATGATTTAAAAAACTTGTAACTTATGTTTGGAAACCGTATTTCGTACAAAATATCTCCAAGGACTTTTCGATAATTTTCATCAGAGTTTTCAATGTCCTCTCTTTCACACCTGCGCTCACACCATTGCACAACATAACGATATATGTTGTCTTCGTCCAGTTGATGATGATCGTCTGCTATCAAACCTCTAATACATTGAGGAGGAAGTGTAAGGAATGCCTCCGATTCCAAACATCGCTTTGTGCTTTGATTGATGACCTTCATGCTGTCCTCCATCACATCTGTAATGTCTAGCAGGAATGCCTGATGATAAAGCTCTACTGCATTAGTAGGGTCATCCAGGCTTGCTGCGGTGATAAAACTCTGACACTTTTCAGAAAGGCTGCAAACCATGTACTTACGTGCTAAGTACAACAAGGTCATCACATTATCTTCACCGAGGTCAATGTCATCTGTATACAGATATCTGAAAATTTTTACGAATCTTTAGGTGTTACCATGCATACTAGTAATGTCTATAAAGTTTATAGTGACTTTTTTCGTTATTGAGGCTTTATCTCGAAAAAAATATGCGTTCAAGTTTTTATTACCTAATTCCTCTACAGATTTGCATATGGAAAAACTACGAATTACTTATTAACCCCGATAAATCCAAACCGGGTCGTCATCCATGTACCAACAAAACAGTTTAATTGGGGCAATTTAACACAGGTACAGTAAAGCGATACAATAAAGCGAGACCGTTCTCTTTTTCAATCTTTATATGTTGTTCTATTTTGCTATATATTATTTGTAGGTAAGAGTCCATCGTACTTTTTATAACGATTGTTGGTTATGGTCGTATCGTGACGCAGCTTTTCGTAGTTTAAATACAAATGTTTGATGCCGATTCGATACGAAGCAAACTAATAATAGAAAAATCCTTGTATAAGCCGGATTGTTCTCTATTATGACTAAAGCAACATTAGACATTTCTAACCTGAGAAATTCTTTGACGCCATCAGTGTCTACTACTTCATGTAACTCTATTTTCTTCATCGAGTTCACACCATATCTGCTTAATTTTACCAATGGACTGTCCAGATTGGCTTCAAAGACATGGCTACGAGCAATCAATACAAAACTATGACAAGGTATCTCGTCACTCCCAATATCAAAAATTACATCACAAGAGATCTTATTTTCAAACATATGCAACAGTGCTTTTTTTAGAGAGAGGTAGTCTTGCCAGTAAACAGACGCCATTCTGTGAATAAACAGAAAAAAGTTAAAATATGGAGAAAGTTAATTAAAAGATACGGTGTACGAGTGTGAATTTCTTTTTTATCATACTGGTACGTCGGAACTTTACAATTCATTACGTTTTTATTTGTTTTGTTTCAATTCAACCCTCCACATTTCTCCTTGATCAGTTGAAACGATAAAAATGCAGCAAAGAAAAAAATGGTGGCAGTAAAACACTTAGTCAAAGAATATGTGTATTTATACATCTGAACTTGTGTATACAATGCACAATTTCATCATGAGAAATAATTATATCAAGTTCATTTATAATATGTTGTATAAGTAACCGTCAGTTCTCATTAGTACTGATGATAACCCTGCACAGTGCAGCTACCAACAGGGTTACTGCAAACTTGAACAAGGAAATAAACAAGAGGCTCTCAAGAGCCTGAATCGCTCACCTGTAATTCTTTGCTTAAATCTTTCATCAATGATTATTTATGCTTTTCAATATATATTAATGAGTGGCTTAAAAATGCCATTTAAATGTTCTTTGTATCTGTCATATTTTCTTCAAAAGCAAAAAAATGCATTTTACCCCTATGTTCCATTTTAGCCATAGTGGCTATGTTTCTTGACAAGGAAAAAAAATACAAAATTTATACAAGACACTCTGAAACTCATTCAGTCCAAATTTGGCTGAAATTGATTCTGCAGTTTTAAAAGGAGAAGATTTTTTAAAGTAAGCAATTTTGCTGTTTATAGTTTATCTTTATCTATAATAATATTCAAGATAACCGAAAACTGCAAAATTTCCTTAAAATCATCAATTCAGGGGCAATAACCTAAAAATGAGATACCCGATTTGGCTGATAATTTCAGGGCCGGTAGACCTTGGCCTAATGAGTACTATAACTTGTCTGATTTGCTCTAAATGCTTTAGTTTTTGAGATATAAGTCAAAAACTGCATTTTACCCTATGTTCTATTTTCAGCCATGGCGGCCATGTTTTTTGACGAAACAGAAAATAAAACACAAACTTTATTCTAGATACCCTAAGGATCATTCAGCTCAAGTTTGGTTGGAATTTGTTCAGTAGTTTCAGAGGAGAAGATGTTTGAAATAGTTTACACCGGACGGACGACGACGACGGACGCCAAGTGATGGCAAAAGCTCATGGTTCCTTCGGAACGATTAGATGAAAAGGCACATGATTTTGAAAACAGGGTAAACCATGTTAAAAACATGTTAAAACTACGGTGACCTATAGTTGTTAACTTATATGTCATTTGATTTCTAGTGGAGAGTTGTCTCATTGGCAATTATACCACATCTTCTTATTTTTTTTACATACTGATTGGATAACTACGTTCACCTCTGCTGAATAAGTTGAAGGATCATATTTAATACCAAGTAAATAGTGCTTTAGAAAATTTAGCATTGCTTTCTAGAATGAGATGGTTTCGGGATCAGTTTTAATTAGGGCCCCGCCGAATGGCGGACGCCCTATAGTGATCAGTCTGTCCGTCCGTCCGTCCTTAACAAATTGTGTCCGCTCTATATCTAGAGAACCGTTATGATTTCAAAGTTTATACTTGACATGTATATTAACCAACACCAGAAGGTGTGTCATAATGTATGTACAACTTCCTAGTTCAAAGGTCAAGGTCAAAAACTGTGGTTTTAGTTGACATGTCCAATGGTAAAGATCGTGTCCGCTCTATATCTTGAGAACCGTTATGATTTCAAAGTTTATACTTGACATGCATATTAACCAACACCAGAGGGTGTGTCATAATGTATGTACAACTTCCTAGGTCAAAGGTCAAGATCAAAAACTGTGGTTTTAGTTGACAACCCCATGTCCTATGGTAAAGATCGTGTCCGCTCTATATCTTGAGAACCGTTATGATTTCAAAGTTTATACTTGACATGTATATAAACCAACACCAGAGGGTGTGTCATAATTTATGTACGACTTCCTAGGTCAAAGGTCAAGGTCATAAACTTCGGTTTTAGTTGACAACCCCATGTCCAATGATAAAGATACAATTTTTTTACCACACATTCTTCACAGCGGGGCACACAGAGATGGCTCCCATCTCAATGATATCTAGTTTTTTTGGAGAATTAGTACCTCACTCCCCAATTGCTGATTAATATACGATAGGCTTGGTCTCACTGTATAATTGAATAGAAGAAGAAGATGTTTTATTTCCATTAAATGGGCTCACAAAGAGTATTTAAGTAAATTTAAAACAGTATAATTATTTGGTTTTTCTCGAAAGGTTGTCTTTCAACATGTTCAAATAATGTATTTTGGTTGTCTGTGTCGTTAGGTTGCTGTGTCATTGACGTATCAACCTTACATCCCTTTGGTTATTAATATTCATATCATAACTTGATTAGGATCCAAGCAAATGATTAATACAATGATACCAGTAACATGCGATCACAGATTTATATAAAGTTGGTCAACTGAATGTTCGTTACAAGTTATATTTTTATCTGTTGTCTACGTTATCCTTCCTATATCTATGTATTTGTAAATATCCTCAATTTCGTTCAGTTATAAGTACATTTTGTGGACTTATTGTTTGACAATGTTTTTAATCTAATTTTACAACTTTTTAATAATATATCAATTTACTTACATGAATGTTCCCTCAGTCTATCTAGTGACTCATAAGTATTGATATCCCTTATCATTGGTTTGTACTTTCACTTTCACTTTCTTCTTTTCCCAAAAATAACTGGATAATGATTTTTTTATACTTTTTGTTTCTTATTCAACATAATTCCATTTTATGTAATAATGCTGTATTTTGTTTGGATGAGTGAAATGGTATTTTTCACAAATTTTCTATATATTGAGATATCTTTTCTCTGCCGGTGTATTTGTCATTAGGGAATTCCATCTGCCGGGGTATTTGCTAGCAAATACCACGGCAGATGGGAAATACCATGTCTAAAAATAACGCGACTTCCGAGGACCTCTAGACTTTACTTTGAGAAAATGATAAGTACAAATACACAAGATGACCAAAATAAACAAAATACACAATATATAGAATTGATGGTACAATAAAAATCCATTATGTCATACAATACAAATTTGCAACTAGGCTATTTACAGTTTAGTTTCGGAACAGGATTATTGGACAGTGAGGAACAGCTTGGTACCATTACACATACAAAAATTATACAGTCAAGCAGAAACTCCATAGGATACCTGACAGTGGCGGATCCAGAACTTTTCATAAGGAGGGCCCGCTGACTGACCTAAGGGGGCCCGCTTCAGTCATGCTTCAGTGATTCCCTATATTATCAACCAAATTTTTCCCACGAAAGGGGGTGCCCGGGCCCCCCAGCCCCCCATATATTTTGTATATGAATCACCTTTTGTGTCTACTTTCAGTTTTGTTTTGTAAATAAAGGAATATTAAATCTAAGAATCGGTCCTGGCGTGCATGCGTTACAAAACAAGGAAACAATAAGATTTTCAAAACACTGGAGAACAATCTCCATCGGAGAAAGAAGCATTTAAAAAAAAAAGCAAGTATAAATCGTGTAACCCTTTTTAATGAATTACTTTGCTATTACAAAAAGTTTAACAAACACAACATGTGCTTTATAAATAAATGCATCAAAATAGAAGTGTAAGTCGAGGATTCAAGAGGGCGTAATGGATTAGCGCCCCTCCCTTTTGCCATGATTGGAAAAATATAAATTTTTGGCATAAATCATCAAAATAATTCACTAATCTTATGACAGAAACTTGAAATTGAGATCAAAAACAAGAGCACAAATTAAATTTGAAAAAATATATTAAAGATAAAATTGAGAATGGAAAGACTTTATATATATTTATCTGTTTCTGTAAGGGTAAATGATTCCGAATCGGGACCTAATCTAAGTAAGTATATAAAAGTGCAAATATGCAAAGGTATGGTGATCAAATCATATTTTATATACAGAATTCGTAATATTGAAAGTATTTCATGTTCCGAATTTGCAATATAATAAGTTTTGAATCTGTAATCATTGTATAGAAAATGAAAGGATATGGAGTAAATGTACATGGGACAAAATCGCAGACAATACATAGAAAACATAGAAAATTATCAATGAACAGGGCTTTTATTCCTGTTCTTCATCTTGACAGTTGATGTAGGGTCTTCAACAATGAACGTATCATTCATACCCTAAAACAAGGTCAAGACGGTCCCTAGCGTCGACTTAAGCGGTACTATTGATAAAAATAAGCCACAGTTCACCTTCTTTCTCCCCACCCGCCTCGGAGTGCCAATTTGTGCGATGCTTTGTGTACGACGGTTCTCCAGTCGAAAGTACCAGGGATACAAGAAAAGTGCAGTAATTTTGAAAGACATCGATCGCCGCTAAAATATGCCTTGAAGTTACACATGTCGTGAGCGGTCAAATGTCGACGATGGAACACCAAATTTCAGTTTTGAATTCTGCTATGGACAGTAAGCTCTGAAATCAGAAAGTGGGTGATATTTACATTTGTGTTTGAAAAAATGAAACAGGTCGAATAATTCAGGCTTTTTATAGAATGAGCGGTTTTCTCTCTATGGCATAGGCTATACGTGATTAAAATTCAAACAAATTAGACGACATTATTTGTTGACTTAAAAATTGCAATTATAAGGTGTTACTAAAAATTGATATAAAAACAATTATAAAGAAATGCTTTGCAAATATTCAGTTTACTTAAAAAAACAAAATTGATGTCAAATACGTATTAATTGGGTTTTTTCCTTCTTCTAATAACACATAAAAACGAGTGCACCCAAAAGTAGATTTATATCTGACGATATACAATGTTTACAATCCTATGCTACTTCAAATTTAACTTTTTTTTTAAAAAGAACGAGAAAATGTTTTATTTACTTGCATGGTTAAGTTTTACGATAAAAACGTGTTCATAGACTTTCTTTTAAAAGAAAATCCTTTATTTTATCAAAATCTTCAGGAATGTGCTGCTTTTGAATTATTGTCCTCCCGTACTCTAATTCGCTTTTCCGTATACAGTTACATTAACTATGATACCATTTGTTATAACTTCGACAATCGCACAGCACAAGTGCGAGTGAAAACCCGCGATGAAAAAAAAGGTAAACAAACGTGGACAGAAGAGTGTATTAATCGAATATGAAAGTTAAAAAAAATAATACATCAAATCATTTAACAACTGTTTGATTAACAAATTGGTACGCATAGAAAACATAAAAAACAAATATATATATATCGATCTATCGTCTAACTTTTTTCCACGTGTTCCATGATTCTGTAACGATCGCTAAACTTCGGCACCAAAACAACCTGAAAGTTAATTTGCAGGTATAAATTTTGATCAAGAATCACAGGATGAAATATTTTTGTCGATCATACTGTAAGAATTCGTAATGAATGTAAAAAAAGTACGTGCCTTGACTAGTTTGGAATGATTTTTTAAAAACTATAAAAATCTGCTATCAATACCTAATCTCCCATTAGAATATAGCAAAGTGTTCTCGACCAATGAAATTGTAGGACTTGATGTTTCTTAATTGTGAAGAATGAATGTAAATCATTGTTCTTAGTAAGGGATTATCCTATTATTTAGGTCTATTTACAGTTCAAAACAAAGAGTTTCTATAAATGAGTTACAACTGCCCTGAAGCACATTTTGAGATTGAAAGGATTTATCACACAGTGATTGAAACTGACTAAAAGTTGATTTGTGAAACAAACAAAAAAATCAAAATAAGTTGAAATTTACTGGTGCAGTAAAATTGGTACCTTTAATTTCATTATGAAAATATTAATAACTTCAAATTACTAAAAAAATTGAATAATATCAAAGCAATGCAAAAAAAAAAGAAGAAAAAATTTAAATAAAAAATAACCTAAATCTTTAGTTTTCCCAAATTCTGAATACTGGACCAGCGGTTGTGAAGAATAGTTATTTCCAATATTCCGATAAAATAAAAATAAAAACGAAAAAAAACAGGGATTTAATGTAAATTTTGAATATGTTTAATACTTTTAAACTACTACCGGGCATTTTATTTGAACATTCCCCTGACTGAATGAAATAGTATTTGATTTAAAAAGCCGAACCAAAATATTGCCTGTGAAATAAAATTAGTTGTAACTCAAAAGTATTTATTGATTTAAACTGAAAATAAACAAAGGATAATTCCTCACTAAAATATTACATGATTTACAGTCATACTCACAATCAGGAAACATATATACAATTCCTACTTTTTCTTTGTACTGTTGTGTGACCTAATGTCTATAACTCATTTTTATTTATATTTCCCAAATAATAAGAAAGTCCTTACATCACTAAAACTAATCCATCATGAAATGAAATGCCGAAAAAGGAAGTCATGCATCAATTAGAAACATTGCAATGACAATGAAACTAATTCTTGAATACAACCAATCAAGAGATCATTTGAGCCTTGAGCACTTTACAATATTCTAAGTTTGTAAGAGTATGATAATCCCTTACTTCATGATAAGTACTCGCTAACGCTCGTACTTAATCATGAAGAAAGGGATTATCATTCTCTTACATATACAAAGACACAAATAATAAGTAAATGATTAAAAAGGCAGTATCTACGAACGACATCAATTTTTTAAAGCCGCGAAAATGCAGTAGCTTTATGGATAACAATGAAAAATATGTTTCGTGTCATTTTCAGGACTGTAATGAATGCAATTAAGAGCAAAAATCGTATTGTTTTGTCATCCGTTAGACTAGAACTCACTAATTACATTTACGTTCAGCTGATGACAAACTATTGAAACTTCTGAAGCCAAAAACAAATGTTTTGAAGAAAACTTTTATATATTCTGGTTCTCAAATATGAAACAGTTTACCAAATGAAATAAAGCTGAGTAATACACTTGTATCTTTTAATGCAAAATGTTACAATTTTTTATAATATTATTATAATATTGTATGTACTTTATGTATATTTTATTATTATTTTGAGGACTCTCAGGAAGATCAGTTGTAACTAACCGGATTATCCTCTTGAAATAAAATTTATTTATTTATTAAGTATGCAAAATTATTTTGTTCAGTGTATGTTCACTGGTGTTAATATGTCTTTTGATTGAGTTAAGCCATTTCAATTGATATTTTATAGTGTGTCTTTCTATGTTGTGATGTTACACTATTGATTCATTTAAGGGTGAAGGTTTGGTACCATTAAAATATTTAAACCCGCTGCAATTGTTTGCACCTGTCCTAAGTCAGGAATCTGATGTTCAGTAGTTGTCGTTTGTTGATGTGGTTCATAAGTGTTTCTCGTTTTTCGTTTTTTATATAGATTAGACCGTTGGTTTTCCCGTTTGAATGGTTTTACACTAGTAATTTTTGGGACACTTTATAGCTTGCTGTTCGGTGTGAGCCAAAGCTCCGTGTTGAAAACCGTACTTTGACCTATAACGGTTTACTTTTATAAATTTTGTCTTGGATGTAGAGTTTTCTCATTGGCACTCATACCACATCTTCTTATATCTAAGAATGTATTGGGTTTTGAACTAGCTTCCATATACTACGAATAATCGGTACTTTGTGCCTATTGTCTATTTGATATTCGTGGGTTCGTTTTATGCTAAGTGCTGTTCTGATGAGACTAGACCATTCCACCTCAGTTTTACAATTAGTTCTTTAGATGTTGTGATTATGATGTCCCCCCTCCCCCCCCCCCCCCCTTTCCATTATATGCAAGAAGTGCATCATGGACACATGCTCCATTTATTTTATTATTGGTGAAGGTCAAACGCTGACATGTAATTGTTCTCATATTTGTCCTATTGTCTTATATTGAAAGTTGCCCCTTTGGTAATAATACCACATTCCTATACTTTTTTTATATAAAAGTACAGTACGTAACACAAAACTTAATAATACCATACCATAGAGAATGCTCACGGCCATCACTGAAAGCAAGCTAAAAGCTAAAT